GTGATTATGGTATCACGAGTACTCCAGCTATTTGGACCGCTACTTGTTATCTACTCCCTAAAATCCGAATCCCTCCGCGCCAATCGATAGCTCTAATCATTACCATTGTCAACAGCCCGCAGGACCTGACACAGTCACCAGCCCCAACTATTTTGTGTCTCGTTCCCGTGAATGTGATTAACGAGTCGGGGGGTTCGAGGCCGGAAAGTGGAAAAAGAGGAATATTTTCGGGGGGAGCCAAATTCCAGTGTTGCACCGGAGTGATCATCAGAATAGGCCTCTCGTCTGAGTTGAGAACTGCAGACAACATACATTTGCTCTCCGGGCGTTCCAGTGCTTGAAAATTGTTTCTTTGTACAATGCCAAGGGTTGCTCTGTAACGAGATACTGCCTGCTTGCAAAAAGTTGTGTACTTCAGGGCTTATTCTTAGAAAGACACACATCACGACTGAAAAGCATAATAAATAAAGGAGTTGTTGAATCATTCCTCTTGCCAACAATATTGCAAGAAGAATAAACATCAGATTCATTGGCCGTAAATAGTTCGTTGAAAACCCAAATAAATCTCTTTTCAGGATACATTGCTATTTGAAGAATAGAATAAACGTTTATGCCCCCCCCCCCTTTCCCTCATCAATACAATTTAGATAATTCAGGAGGCAGGATCCGGCTGAGAGGAACAGAAAGTGCCGGCACAAAATTCCCTGACGGCGAAGCGTTTAACCGCTACACCACAGGCGCCGGTGAAAAAGTATTTACTTTTCTCAGACCTTGTTAAAAGCACGATAAAAGCTATTTCAGTTACATTCATACTCCTTTATTTCAATATCTTCTCCATCTCCCCCCCAACCCCCCCCCCCAAAAAAAAACAACAACCCCAAAACAAAACAAAAACAACCCCCACCAAGCCTCGGAGGACGAATCAGTATTATGAAAGAAAGTACTACTTGTGACAGTTGTTCCATAAACAAGCATCGACGTCTGTGGCATAGTGCTTAAGCGTGTCACCGTCGAACGCCGAAGTTCTTTTCTCGTGTGGAGTGTGAGGTGAGGAGACTATCTGTCGAGTATCAATCGGTCTCTCTGCTGGGACGTTGTATACCTCTCGGCTCGGGTTGGCCCTGACAGGCAGAGTCGAAGCCTGCGTTCTAAATGATCTAAACTGTGTCGATAGGGGTGTAAAACATCTACATAAAAAAGAAACAAAGCAGGTTAGCAAAAACTGGTCCAAGCAATTGACTTCTTCGTAAATATTTCTTGCGTACATGTAGTTACTTTCAGTATTTCGCCACAGACAGCCCTTGAGATTGAAACACTTGGCGCAGAAATATTTCACCTCAATTAAAATTATCTTACTACTCTATCGTCAACTTAAATTCTAAGTACAAGTATACCAAAGACTTTACACGTTTGTGCCTAACCAGTTTTGCCGATAAAGTTTCAGCATCATAACTTCCCTATAACTATAACTCCGCTCCTATTTAATTCATTCATGTGAATAAACACCGAGCAGTAGAAATGCATGCGCCATGCAATTTAAAATCACCGTTTGATTATGAATAAGAATATGCTGGGGTTTCGCAGATCTATGTTATGATTATAAATAGCCTCGCTATGCCGCACAGTCGGATATTAAGAATCAAACCATTTGCATATCCCAGATATTACAATCATGGGCGTTTTGTTGAACTATCCATCCTGAAAATGGTAAATGTTGTAATGACGAGAGAGTACATCACTCCAGGAAAAACACAAAGGTCATTAACAGTGAAACTTATCAGTGTTCTTACAAAAGTTATTTTGCAATAAAGATAATTAAAGAATATTGAGCTGGTCCACATTCACACTTGTCACGTTCTTATACCACATCACATCAACAATATGGCATGAGCACATGATTGTGCAATGATTCATGCAAATCTTTTTTTCTCCTCCCTCCCCCCCCCAACCTCTCTCTCGTTCGCTCTTCTTC